GGAACACTTGATCAACATGGAAAATTACATGATGGAATCAATGAAGTGATGGTTGTAAGTACATAGCAAACTCACCATCCATTCCATTGACATCATATTTGCATCACTTATATAACCACTGGCAACCACCTACAAAAAAAGTTTTTAAAACCAAGATCAATAGGGTCATGTTTCATATTTTTCACAAAAAATGATGTTACTTTAAATAACCTGACTTCAATCTTCTAAATGCAAATAAGATAATAATAATAAGCTTATGATTGTTAGGAATATACTGTATGCATCACTTACAACATCTTCAATGTTGGTGAAGAAATCCAAGTAGTTCTGATGTAAATACAAAGTTAGCATTTCACTTGACAGGTGAGACCTCTCAACTACCTCCTGAAGCAGAAAGATAAATGAATGAATAAATAAATAGATGAAAGAGATTATGAATGGATGAAAAAAAATGAATGGGATTAAAAATCATGTCATAAATACTATCTGATACCACCCATATCACCTACTTAAATGTGCCATTTTTAAAATCTCTCAAAATGATTTCTGATACTAAAAGTTAAATGTTGTGTTAAAATAGCATACCTCAGGGCAAAACTGAACTTGATTTCGGGCTAAATGTGACATGTTACTKGGCAGGAGGTGCTTGTCTGATATGCTTGAGTCTCCTGTAAATGCAAAAATTTATGTTCATGTACTTCAGCCTCCTTAACAGCCTGTTACATGTACAATAGAAGAGACTGGATAAAAGACTAAGTAGAACTGTTGTCCAATCAAGACATGCATTCTAAATTGTAAAACACTTTTAGAATCTTTTGCAGTCCTTCCTTTTGTCAGGCTTCGTGAAGGATCAGCAAAGACTACATGTAGTACATGTACAGGCTTTTAATGAAAGCATGGTTGAACAAGAACTCACTTTTACAGTACAGTATTTTCCCAAGTGCTCTGAAAAGAAATATTGAAGTGTCTTTCCCTCCGATTGCCTTGACGGTGCTTTGGTTCCCTTTGTCCTCCTTGTTGTAGCTGCTTCCTCCACCAGATTTCTTTATTTGGGATTGCTTTGTTGTTACTTTTTTATTAGATGCTTTCTTTTGTTTTTTGCTCGTAGCTGATGAGCTTACAGAGGCAAATTTGGACAGGATATTGTCTAGTCAAAAGCAATAATAAAAATGTCACACTCTTCAACATTGTACTAAAGGCACAGCCATTAAAGCTAAGTGAAACTTTCTATGGCTGGGTGTTAGCATAGACAAAGTTAAGCAAAGATACAACTGAATTATATATACAATTATGTACAATCATGTACATTATGAAAAGAACAAGCAAGGCTTTGAGTGGGACAGTTGACATGGAGATGATGATGATGATGATGGTAATGAAGATGATGGTGATTACGATGAATTATAAAATCATTTTAAAATACAAGGTATATTCTGAAAATACAGTATCTTAATCTTCTCCAAGGTTTTCACAATTTTTTAGGTTCCAGTGTTAAATTACTTTTTCATTGAATTTTGATGGTGCTCCAATATGTAATATGAAAGTAATAATTTTGTTAACACATACCCTGTATTCCCTTTTGACATGAGAACTGTAAAGCATTTATAGCTGTTCTTATATCACCGGCACTACTCTGAGCTAGCTCATTGATTGCATCCTTAGATGGTACTGAAAAATCCTTGCCAGCCTGGGAAAAAAATTGTCATTAATTAACAGTTCGTGGGTGAGCTCCAAATTGTGTAAATAGAAACTTGATATTTTAAGTTCAATTTATATGGGAATAGTAAATTACTTTTATTGATTTAAAACCACTCAAGTGCACACTGATTGACACATTGTTCATTCATTACTTGTACAGTAAATACATTAAAGGGACACTGTCAATGGATGACATGCGCGAGTAAACTTGAAAACATTAGGCTAGTGTTTTCATGTTTACGACTCCAAGTTGGCGCGACGCATGACAAAAAAGTACTCGTAAACGTAAACAGATCTAGAATATTCCAAAGTGTGTCAAAACATTGATTTACCCCGAAGGTAATACTTTCAAAGTCCGTTAGAGGCAAGACTGTTACTGCGCATGTCATCAATAAAATTGACAGTGTCCCTTTAAAACAAATCAAAAAATATTTTTGTTTTTTGTTGTTGAGTAAATTAAAAGTTATTACCTTTTTGCTTTCCAGTGATACTATTCTGTTCARAGCCTTCACTAGACTTGTGTTGGCCACGGGATTAAAACTAAGGTTCAATATAATAACAGCCATTAATTTATTTAAAAAAACCTTATCAACAGACCAAAAACATGTAGTATACTAGAGCCAGCTGTGTATAAAAATCTTTATAAAATCTATGGAGTGGATAACTGTATTGGGTGGATTTAACTTTATCMAGCCCTCTTAAAACTTGCTGCTGTACGATATATATTTTTTCATATTATAACTACCTACCTTATGGTAGATACTCCAAGCCTGAGTTGTATTGTTTTTGGTAATAACTTATGTAMATTAGATTCATCACTATGGCTGTCAGATATAATCAACACCAAGGGACAGCGGCCTTTGTGTCTGTATTCCCTGCAATTTYCAGACATATTTAAGACTGTATTAGGCTGCTCTATGCAAAGGCATCAATGCATTCCTCTTTGGGTTTCCTGTGYATAAAATTGTGAGAATAGGGCAAAAAGGGATGAGACCCCSTCTCWGCCTTTCTCYTGACACTTTCTCATTCTCAGTTCTCTTATTGTTATTAGAGGAATAAAGGAAGCCCAAAACAAGGATGTGTGATATGTTGTCTGTTAGTGCAGAACTACTTACAAGAGAACTTCATGTAACTTTTTTGCATCTCGATAAAATAAATTAGGTAAATCCTGGAAAAAGAGAGAGAAGATTTAGTGAGAAATGTCAAAATTTAAAACTATCAACTTAAAATGTGAATGTGTCGACAGCTGTGAGAGTTTGGCAAACTCTGAAGTGGTGATGCAACAACTAGAAGAGCATATTATTCCTACAGTAACTTGCCTCTATCAAAATAACTTTTCTTTGTGTAATTCTATCAACATTACTTGAACCAAACATGTTTAACGATGGGTATTTGTTTGACCTCAGGAGAAAATCTTGAAACTGTGCAAGCTGGGACTGTGAATATTCATTTCCAAAGGTAAATCCTTTAAAAAGAAATTATATACTGTATGTATTACATGTACATAGTCATGAATTAATTTATAAATATCATGCTTACTGACATGCAACATCGCTGTTTAGGGCAAGAGTGATCCAATTGTTCTAAGGATGATCATTACTAGTGTTTGAATAACATTATTAAACCTTAGTTCACATTCTTAGAGCTTAATTCCCTAACATGCTTAAAATTGAATTCCAAATAAAATTCAATAATTCTCATTACCTTCAGCAACTGTTGTAGGGTTTATCCATTCTTGAACCTCAAAGTTTAGTTCTGTACWRAGGGCACATATTGTGGCAGTTTTACCGACACCAACYGGGCCAGTTAGCARTAATATTTCATTGGACTAAAAATTCAACAATTAAAATTCATTAGTATGTTGTAAGTTGTGACAGTCAATCAATATGTTGCTATAAACCTCAGTTGACGATACAATAATTCATGGAATGGCATTAACAAACCTTTGTGCTAAGATGATCTAATAACCAAGAGCGGACATCTTCTATTTTCTTTTTGTGGACAGCAAGTTCCGACTACAYGTGGARGTAAGGAARAAAATGTGTRAGAAACTTTACAMTATTTCATTGSCTTCTGKTGTYTTGTCTGAATWAAAATGGATGAAATTTTGAGTAGCACTTACTTCAGATTGKGGCTTATACTTGTCAATCCAGAGATTAACAGAGATATCTTTACGTGAGAAGTCTAAAATGTAACAACCATATTTATTAATCATTCAATGTCATGAAAAATAGTATTACTTAATTAATGTCTAAAAGTCAACAACTGATTGCCGTGGCCAGATTAAGAAGACTAGTAAAGCCCTAGTTATAAAAATACATTATTAATAAACAATGAAAGTACAGTTGTACCTTCTGGTAATTTCGTTCTTGCTTTCTTGTTCTTTCTGGAAAGATCATCAAATGTACTAAAACTGTCAAATCCATCAAATGATGAGGAGATCCAGCTTTTCTGTCTCTAAAAATAGACAAGAATTYCCATTCAACAAGTCTACAGGTATGCATTCGTGCATTTGATTTTGTTTGTTTTGCTTTTGCTTCAAAAATGTGTTATGTGTATGTTATCTGGAAATACCTGAGATTGAGTACTTGTCACACTCCCATTTCCTGTCTTTCCTGGCAAAGACTTGGATTTTGTAAGCAAACGGCATGCTATGAAAAAAACAATAATTAATGACCTTCATGATGATAAYTGTTTTTAAAACTACACAAACTCTTTACCTGATGATTTCCTTTTCTGTGACAAACTATGAAAAATAGTTAATATTAATAATATAATAATAAAACCAAATTGAAATAATTCTTACTATCACTACATGGGGGTGACAAGGAACTATAAGACATGCCAGTGCTTGCAGGCATAAAGGAAAAATATCCAAATCACGTGCARTCCACAGTTTGACGTCTCAACTGTAAGGYAGCTAAATAATYATAGACCAACCTTAGCTTTGATTCGCGAGGCGGATTCTTAGAGCWGCTAACCACAGAACTATCGAACTCATCATCGTCAAGGATWATTATCGGYTCCTTTRGATGACTCTACAACRAYAATATTTACTTATAACYTCCGCACAGRAACGACTTGCAAATGTTGACAATTGCAAAAATTATGCATAATAMACTGAGAACTATTAAAATTTTCTCAAATAATTTTCTCATAATATTTACCATGTTTGGTCTAATATCATTTTGCTGAGTTTTATTTTAGATCTTCGAGTAAATTTGATCTGTGATCGAATGGAAAGTGAGCCAAGTTTCAAATCTCCAGCTCGTCCGCCATCTTGATCATAGTGAAAGTAATCGATAAATATTCGTAACTGGTCGATTAGATTCCGGAATAAGCCTTAGGGTACGAGCAAACCGGAAAGGCGTGTGACGTATTTCCGTTACAGTGCGCTAGCTGTATCTTATATTACAGTGACGGTATTTCCGATGCATTTGCGATTTTCTTCCACAAAGTTTCGTATTTCGCCAGGGATCCTTTCTGCAGACGGTTCGCCCTTTAAAAGGTAGAATATTCAGAGAAATACCAGTAGTGTGTTCGACATAGGACAAGAGACTATTTTATCAAGTCCAGTATTTGTGCGCATTGCAGCATTGCAGCGAATTCACGTCTACAACTCTCAAACGGAGATGGCTAAAATATTGTTGGCGCTTCTGGCGTTCAGCCATTCTCTGATCTTCGGCACAGGTAAATGTTCATCAATGTATCAGATCTTAATTGCCAAATCCTTCCCTTTGTGCAAATGTCATCCAGTTTTAGGCCTTGATCGCTTGTTCTTTGTTGATTTAAGTGGTGTTGAATAAGAGATTATTGCGCTTTTCAGCTTTGTTTTGGTTTGCAAGGGCGCATTGAAATCTATGAAGCTGTAAAAGCTCACGCTACATATACACCCCCTGATGGCTTAGGGTTAGGGTTAGAACTCCTCAAATGAAGAATTGTGCAACTTCCCATTTCAACGGTTTACCATTCCGTAATCCTTGAATCTGTGATTTTGACGTTYACTGATTTATTTAGCCCGGCTTTCGATGTACGCCAACTAAACCCTTGAATCGTCTATCAGCACATTTATTTATGAACATGAAATGTAATTCAGTGGCCTTTGAAATTCTTTCTCGTTAAAAAAATTGATAATAATTGACACTTGAAAACGAACAGTGAAGGAATGATTTGTGTGATTGATGATTTCTTGCCCGTCTGTCTTGACAAGTACTTCTTTAAGTGCACGTAATCGCTGAATGAAGTCGGGAAAGTCTGACATTGACTCTGAACTAACATGACATTTTTGGACAGTTTGTCATGCGGAAATGATCATTTTATTAACTAAATATACAGGGAATGCCAGCCAATATTTGCCATACTTTAAGCTACATATGAAAAATTATAATATTTATAATTGGTGCTTAATCGTATTTTGTTCCACTAATTGATTAYCATTTATTTAGACAATGGTCGATATTGAAGTGTAGCATTTTGTGCGTCAAGAATTTCGAGCGACATGTTTTYGTACATATTCKTATTTGTCTTCATCAAGAAAACTGTSTACASKCAATTGTCTTGAGACACAAAAGAAAGCTTCCAGCTGATGGCTTCTTTTGTAACATAACAGAGGCTGTTCTCGTGGTCGATTAATTAATGTTTATATAAACAATTGAATCAAAAGTGATTTATAATTTGAATAGCACAAAGAAACTGCAGAAGTCGATCAAATGACAAAATGAAATCTGTTCCTGCTTAAAGAAACCGAAACTTCGTTTATTCGCAATGATCTCAACAAGAAGTGTTTGGATACGTTTTCCGCAATAAATGCGCGCATGCAAATAAACATTGAATAAATTGATGAACGCAAGATGAACGATTCCCCAACGTTCCCATCCATGCATTTCAGTGCATTTTTACACGGTTCATCAGATAGGTTAACAAAGTTTTGCATATTACATGTACTATTTTCTTTCCAAAAGCTGTATGCATCATGACACATTGTATTCATGGATTCAGAATTTCAAAAGGGACTTTTCTCACGATTTCTCAACATGGGTCTCATAAATTCATCTCTTATTAGGGGAGGGAGGAGCATTTCACCAAAACGTCACTGTTAATTCTGTATGTTTACATTAGCTATTCCATGCTGAATGCTACATATCATRCAAATCTGTCTGAAAACGTTGATCAACAACTGGATTAGTTTTATTTATATTATTAGATAATGATCTTGATCACTGAGCAGATAAGCTTTAGCTTGGGGTAACAGCATTGTTATTAAGTGCTTGAACAGGAAATTGTGTTCATTATAATTTGATTTCCATAGTTCACTAAAGCCATAACATGTCTGGAAAGAGTTATTGTTTACATTTTTTCAGACACAATTATCTTATCTTGATGTGTTTAATGTAGCGGTACAACATGATTTTCAACAGAAATGTCTTGCTTTGAATGATACAGCATCGTGTTTAAGGTTGATATTTCTGTTGGCTCAGATAATGAGCCAAACCCAACTACAGCTCCACCCCCCAACAGTTTTCAGTTTGCTTTAGCTATGGAACCACAAAGTAAAGATTTATACTTTAGTTGAAACTGGTTAAGGGAGGTCAGTTGTAATAGTCTTTTTTGGATCTTTCTGTATTGTTGACTATATTCCTCCTGAAACTGAAACTGATGATAAGAAACAGTTATTTGCTTTGACTGCTGCTGATGCTTTGACAGCTCTTGAATATGAAACCACCACGGCATTCCTCTATATCCTAATAAACACTGATAAGTGCTATTTTGTTGATGTCTACCATTAGTTCTTATGGGGGCTGGCTCATGCATGGTTCACCCCCCTGGATCCAACAGTTACAATTTCTGAAGTTTTGTCCATTTTTAATTCAGGTCTGTCTTTGCCATGTGGAGGGAATTTCAATGGAAAGCAAGGCGTCATCAAAACACCAGGGTATCCACAGACWTACAAAGATAACTTAGAGTGCATATGGAAGATCACAACCCCAAAAGACCACACGGTGAAACTTTCCTTCCTGCACTTTGCCCTGGAAAAGAGTGTACACTGCACTAATGACTTTGTTAAGGTTTATGAYGGTGGCAGCACTAGCAAAACCATGATAGGAAAATATTGTGGAGGAATGAGACCTTTTGCTGTCCTGGCGAGCACGAATAAAATGACAGTGCAATTCAAGTCAGACTATACGTTGGGATTTCCTGGTCTAAAAGCTAAATTCGTGGCTGTTCCAAAGAATGGTATGTTGGCCTTTGTTATTGATGATACTATAGCTGAATAGGGACCTTAAGGGAGGGTTCGAATCCAAGAAAATCATCTCTTTCGTATGATGGTATATGATGCGTCCTTCACGGAGGAGAAAGAAGAGATATAAGAAAAAAGCGTTGCTATTTAACAAATAGATCTCATTTTTCCGTGCGTGTGTACTCTAATAGATACACAGATGACGTCAAAATGTAGTGAGAACAAAAAAGTATGCACGAGACGCAGTCGAGTGCTTGACTGTTGTTCTCACTACATTTTGACGTCATCTGTGTATCTATTAGAGTACACACGCACGGAAAAATGAGATCTATCTGTTTTATACAACAAACAATTAGTTTTGACGTAATCCGTGTATCTATACTTTGATAACACACGATAGCCAACCAATCAAAACGTCTGATTTTACTGAAAAGTTGTATAAGCAGGTTTAGTGTCAGAGTAAGTCGTTTTCTCGGTCTACTTTTTGTTGCACGACAAAGCTACCAAATCATAGTCAAAGCAAAAAAAATAAGACACATCGAAACGTACCAAACTTTGAACGGCACAGCAAACTTTGAACAATGTTGCGTTTCAAGTTGATGGGTTTGTATCTCCCAGCCAATATTCCTCGTTTGTGGGGGGCAGCCTGCACTTGGTAAATAAAAATAAAAAATCTCATGTTTTTGGCCTTCAGATATATTGATGTATTTGCAAACAAAGTTATATAAGTGCTAATGATTTCTATTTCATTGAAGGCCCAGYTATTCCCAAAACGACTCAACAACCTTCTCAAAAAGCTGTTGTAACCTCACTGCCAACCACAACAAGAACGMCTTCCACAGCAGCATCAACAACGACAGCAACAACAACCACGCAAATAACTACTATTGCTACAACATCAACAACGAAACAAGTGACTACTCCGGCAGTGTCTATATTCTTTGCAAAACCATTTAAAAATGTTACAGTCTGTATATCAGGGAGTACTTGCAAGTTAATTTGTGAAGTACGTGGTTCCAAGAAGGGAAAACCTTTGACCATTAAGTGGACAAAGGATGACAACCCTATCAACGGAGGTACGCCTCGTGTTAAAATCAAAAGAAAATATAGAAAAAGCAAAAGATCGGTACTGGTACTTAAGAATGTCAGCAAAGATGATAATGGTGTATATGGCTGCCACGTTACTGACCCCTATAGTAAACAATTCATCAACATCTTTGGGAAATTACAAGTTGAAGGTAAGTCTTTAGGAACGCTTTCGAATTGAGTTGGGTGACATGCGCTTCTGAGGGTGACCATCGTATCGCTAAGCTCGTTATTGGCGTTACTCTTTGATCTCAGGATCATCAGAGTCGACGAGAGAACCGCGGAAATAAACTGATGGGTGGCTGAAGCGATTTGGTCAAACATGAGAGCGCTTTTCACCTATCATTATCCATAACTSACTATATTTTTGGTTTTCTGATCTGTAGCCTTATTTATTTATATTTTGTAACCTTTTTTTCAGAGCGCAAAATCGAACCAGAGCCTCCGTTKATCTTCAGTGCAAACCTTAATGCCACAGTTGATATCAATGATGAGGTGGTGTTGAGTTGTATGGTCAACGGATCGCAACCTATAACTATAAGGTATCTCATGAAAACAAATGCGCTGCTCTTCCTCCYCCCTAGTTTGTTCTGAATCTCCCTTGTTTCACAGCCCCTAGTAACATGCAGGTTTTCCGCTTCGATCTTTCGTGACGTCAAATTCTCGTACCCAGACCCTTTAGCGGCCTCGCTAAAGGCCGTGAGAGTAGGGTCTGGGTACGAGAATGGTGACGTCATACTTAAGCGCTCGCCCTAGGACACGCTCTCTTTGTCAATATTTACCTTGGATGGTTCCAGGAGTTCTGGTTCTGGTTCCTTGGAAGACGCGTACGTAGTCTTGGAAATATGAGAGTTAACTTGGCAATTCAATAGTGTAATACATTCCCGGATACAACCGACAGTTTGTTCAGTCTGATTCCTAAACAATACTCGTGCAATTTTTGCAGTATATCGTCCTCTTTTCTACAGTCTTGAAACGCAAAGCAAAGCTGGAACCCCAAGCATGAGGTCCCTGCAAACGCCCCTGAAAGTCTTCATATCTGCTTTTTTATTCATCCTTGCATTTCCCCATCAGGTGGATAGAAAACGATGGTAAAAGTGTACTCGATAAAGACCCGAAACGATACACCAACTATTACGAGTCATTCCATACCATACACGTACAAGAACCCATTTCTTTTGAAGTTCGATGTGTAGCGGAAAATCAATATGGCAGAGACGTGAAGACAGGCTTTATTCGTGTCAATAAAAGTAGGTGCTTTTACAAGTAATATATGCTATTATTATTGAAATGTACGGTAGTGTTCGGCATTTTTGTCCTATTGCACTATGACGTCATGCACATGAAATGGAGCAATTGACGAAAATGATTGCATTTCTTTCACTGTTTTTATATCATGAAAACGTTTTTCGTAGGACCACCTGACGCAAAAGAAAAGCCAGTAATTATCAATATGGCAGCATTAAATCTTACCGCAAAAACTGGAGAAAAGGTTGTGCTTCGCTGTGGGGCCAACGGAGCACCACCCGTCTCGATGAGGTCAGTTCTGACACCGGCAATATTCATTAYCCATAATTCCTTTCAAGCATGCGATATATGCTAAGTACTTTATTCGCCATTGTTTTAAAGTTATTTATTCACCAAATTCTTCATGATTATAATTCTGTTATAGATGGTTGATTGACAATCGTTACTACAAGGGGAAACAATCTCGATACAAAGACAGCTATACGTCACATTTCACGTTAGTCGTCAAAAAGAGGACAAAGGTCAGATGTGAAGCACAGAATCCTTACGGCATTGACGCAAAGACAGGAGTAATTACCGTGCAGTCAGGTAAGACGATTTATAATGACCGTAAAATGTTACCCACTCCACCCCCCCTTGGGGTTGTCACGTTGAACCCAAGATTGATATGTTTACTATTGTATTCCTTTTCGTAGATATTGTAGCAAGAAAAKCAGGCCCATGGGACACATTTAAACCAGGGAAAAAGATGTTCTACATCGTTATCGCTGGAGGCATTGCATTCTTSATACTTGTTGTCATTACCATCGCTTGTTTTCGAAAGAAAGCTGCAAATACGAAGTACAAAGTACCTGAGCCTATCCACCTCGAACARCTTACAAGAAACCCAATTTTTGAAAGAACCAACAATACTTATGTCAATCCGAAGATTGAAAAATGGAATATACACAGAAATAATATTGAGTTCATTAAAGACATCGAAAATGGTAAGTTCTTAAGTTCTTTTTGAGTGTGCCTTCTGATATCGCGCAGTGCATGCGGGGAGGAGCGAAGGAATCCCATTAAGGCTGATTTACACGGCACGATTGTCTCGTGCGATTTGTAGTATACGACTTTAATCGCGCAGTGTAAATGCCCCTACGACTTGTCTACAACAGTCGTACGCAACCTACAACTTTTAGTAGGGTTTTGAACCACTGCTTAAAATCCTACGACTTGTAGTAGGAAAATCGTATACTACAAGTCGCGCGCGACAAATCGTACCSTGTAAATCAGCCTTTAGGCGCAAAGAACTTACCAAACACAAAAGAAAACACGAGAAAATGTTGTTAGTACAAYAGCGCTACAGGGTTAGTCTCAACTCGGAGAAAATGAAAATTTCTGAGGCTAATGTAATAACAACATTTTCTCGTTGTCTCTTTTGTGTTTGGTCAGGTCTTTGCGCGAGAATCTGTTGTAAAAGAAAGCAGCGGGGTTTTCGCTATGAATTCGAAACTGGAATATTAATGCACATGTTTTGCTTGTGTTTCAAGGAGTATTTCGTCGACTCTTTCTTGGAAAAATGACTCATACTTCAAGAGGAGAACAAGACGCACTCGTCCAAGTAAAAGTCTTGAAAGAATCATCCCCCACAGATTCCAATAAAGAAACTTTCGAAGAAGAAGCCATTGAACTTACTTCATATGACCATCCCAACGTGCAAAGCCTTGTGGGTGTGTGCGTCACAGGAAGACCGCTGTGCTTAGTTTTCGAGTGCTCAGATCGTGGGGACTTGAATCAATTCCTGCGCGACTCGGGCTGCTCGCACTACATCATTCGTGAAAGACCTAATTCATCGTTAGATCCTGACACGAAGCTATCAAAACTCGATCAGTTGTGTATTGCAAAGCAAATAGCAGCGGGAATGCAATATTTATCAGATAGGAGATATAGTCATAGAGAACTTTGTACGAAAAACTGTATGATCAACAAAAATATGACCGTTAAAGTCGCAAATATCGGTTTGCACGATGCAAAGCCGAATACATCGTACGGGTGCCTGGGTCCGATTGAAAAGTCCTCGTACCCAGTCCGTTGGCTTCCATTTGAGAGCGTCACATCCGGGATATTCACAGACACAACGGACGTATGGTCTTTTGGAATAGTATTATGGGAAATCTACTCTTATGGTATTACACCTTATTATGGGATGAATAATGATGAAGTCATAGCGTTGGTCCGCGAAGGGGACATTCTACCGCTTCCCAAGGAGTGTCCCCGAGAAATGTACGATGTCATGCAGGATTGCTGGAGTCTTGTTCCTCACGAAAGACCATCGTTTCGATTTTTATATGAGAAAATTTCAGC